GGTTTAAATGCTTCACGGAAATAGTTTTCAGAATCTATAACACCACGTTTTATTTCCATTATTTTTCGTTTTATATTTTTTTTTGATGTTATTAAATTTTCCAGCAAAACTTTTTCATTACTCATTGTAAATAATAAATACAATATAACTGTCCCGTATGACCACTAATATCACTATGTGATAAATAACTGTGTGCTATGATATATATATTTATAAAGTATTTTATTAAAATAATATTACCCTCCTTGTAGACACACACTACAATGATCATGGCTGTGTACTTACATACATTTTTATACATGTGCAACATAATACAATATTAATTTATTTTATTTTAATAAACGTATGAAAACCACATCTATATCTTCCTTCATTCATTTCTCGAGTCTTATCGATAACCAGAAACCCGTAATCACTGTGATTCCAACATAAATGTGAAATTTTCCGAAATTTTGTGAAATCCATATCTGCTGACGAATGATCGTTGAATATATGTCGTAAATTTGTATCATCTTGTTTCAGTATCATTAAAAAGTTGGAGTTATCTCTTACTAACTGTTTTGATATTTTAGAATATGTTTGTGCTAAATAAAATACAGAGCTAGCACCCGAATGTCTTCCAATGCTGAAGTATTCTCTGATTACGGATTGTGGGCCACATATCACATCATCAAAAATTATAATAGAATTTTTTTTAGTCAAGTTCGGTTTTATAACCTTATCGGCGCTTGTAAATATGAAAAAATCAGCACCTTGTATATCATCTATTATTTTTTTTAATAAAACATATTTTTCCTGATTTGAGGTTTTAGAGTATAAATAAATATTTTCAAATCTTAAGCCGTTTACATGTGTGATAAGATTATACATTATATTGGTTTTTCCTGATCCGCTGGGACCGACTAATATACCGCGTATAGTGTCAGGTAATAACGAACCGTGTCTTGATGGTTTTTTTACCATCTGAACATCCACATTTATAACATCTAATTTATCTTTCTGTTCAATAAAATCCATTTTTTTCTTATAAATACTCTAGAATTTTTCAATTGATAATCAGTTATAGATGAGGTGTTCATCCCGAAAGTGTAAGCCAAGTAAGACTGGGAAAGGATTTGTAAACTATCTTATAAATAGTCTACCAGTTGAAGCCCATGTTCCAGGCTATCAGTATTGTGGACCTGGTACAAAATTAAAAAAGAGACTAGATCACGGCGATAAAGGAATAAACCCATTGGATGCTGCTTGTCGTGAACACGATATTGTGTATGCATCGAGTAAAAATTTAGGTGATAGACATAAAGCTGATAAACTGTTAGAAAATCGCGCTTGGGAAAGATTTAAAGCAAAAGATACTCCTAGAAAAGAGAAACTGGTTGCGTACGCAGTAACAAACGCGATGAAAGCTAAAAGAAAATTAGGTATGGGTTGTAAAGGTAAACGGAAACGTGTTAGAAAAAACAATGGTATGCTAGCTGTGAAGAAAAAAAGAACCTTAAAGAAAAAGAATAGTGGTGAAAGATTGATTTTAACACCGGGACAGAGAGGAGGCGCAATCCCTTTAATACCTATATTTGCGGGATTGTCAGCACTTGGTAGTTTAATGTCCGGAGGTGCCAGTGTGTATAATGCGGTCCAAAATTCAAAAAGAAAAAAAGGTAGTGGTTTGAATTCAAACAATAATGGGTTAGGGGGAAAAAAGAAAATGAAAAAAAACTGATAATCACGCTACCTGACAGGCCACTTTCGTCTCAAGATATTATAAAATATGTAGGAAAGTTGAAAATCAATCATTTCCGAGGTGTCTTTTCACGTGATAACTTACCTAAAAAACCACATACGGTTGAATGTGGTATATTAAACTTGGATATATCTTCAGGCGACGGAAGTCATTGGGTAGCGTTTTATAAAAATAAGAACAAAGTTGTATATTTTGATAGCTTTGGTGATTTACCCCCACCAATTGAATTACAACATTATTTCAGACAGTTCAAAATAGTATATATTTATATATATTAATATATTAATTAGTAGCTAAATTAGAAAGTGATTCTGACATGAACATAAAAGTGTCTACAAATTTTACATAAAATTTATCTAAAATTTGTTTACTAAATGTTAAATATTTTTCACCTGAGTTTGGAATAATGCGTATGTCATTATTATTACAACCTAAGGTGCGTACAATAAAATGACCATCATACGATAAATTATGGAAATATACTGGTACAAATGACGGTTTTTGTGCCAAAAAATTACAATTTAAGCATAAAGCCCTTAAATATTCCCCTGTAAGATGTGAGTGGTCTCTAACTTTAAATACGGTATCATTATTAAATGATCTCGAACATAGTTCACATTTTTTCGAATTAATATATTGACCTTCTTCTTTTTTTGTTAATTTGTGCATTGATTTATTAGTATTATATAGATAATAAATTTTGGTAGAAATATCAATTATAGTTGCCATAAAATGCTTTGATGCATTTTTACCTCTATAAATTATTGGTTTTCTAGGAATTTTAAATTGTTTTACTAACTCTCTTGGGACGATGCTGTAATTAATTTTAACATATAACCCATAACTCATGGGCTTATGATAATGTGTGTTTTTAGTATTGACTGTTATGATATTATTAGCTGGTTTTAAAAAGCATTCAAAATCGGCGTAAATTACAATAGGAATTCGGTCGGCCCGATTATATTTATTAAAATATATAAATTTGTCATCATGAGGATCAATCATTACAGGCTTACAAAGTTTATGTTTTTGGCAAATTACTTTATGTCTATCAAGCCCATGCTGCCCCCATGGCTTGTTTTTATTTGGTTTAACATTAAAAGTTGTAAAACATCGCTTGCAAATAATTATTTTACTTTCATGTTTTGTTCTTTGCGCTCGGATTAATCTTGAGAAATTAGCTATGTAACAATAATGTGTTGTTGATAAATTTGAGAAAAAAAACAAATCGTAATGATCGGATTTTTCGATATTATTTATGTGAAGTGGATAAATTTGATTTTTAACATCGCAACTATAAACATTGACGGATATGTTATTAATTTTTTCAAATTTTTTTATTTGATTAATTGGTGTAGGGTAATCAATACAATTAAAATTAAGCCCACTTTTTTTTTCTAAAAAATTAAAATATTTAATACTAAAATTATTTTTTTTTTTTTTTTCATTAAATTTTGATAAAATTGCATATTTAAAACAACTATTGTCGTAATTCATTACGTTTATTATTGCTTTTTTATTATAAATTGATTTGGGTAATTTTATAAATGAGGAACCTCCTAGTAAATTTACTTTATTTGTTCTTAATTGGAGACCATCTAAACTAATTTGCCTCCAAGAAGAACCCTTCAACAAAAATGACTCTTGTTCATTTAATAATTTGTCAAACATGTTTTTTAAAAGGGTAGAAAAATTTGATGTAAAATAACATAAAACATTTCTTGTTTTAAATGCAACATCCCGAACTTCCCCCGTAATTAAATTTTCATACACTAAGTCTACAAATAAATTAAATTTATATGTTGATGAGGAACATAGTTCTTTTAGTTTCGATTTTAATGAAGCAGAAGTATAATTTAAAAATGACAATAAATCAATATGGTTTTCGTTGTTTTTATAATAAAAAGTTTTTGATCGATTATTTTTAAATTTCTCAACTTCTACTAAATTTTCCCCAGTTGTGTTTAATCGGTTAATTTTTTTAATGCGGTTAAATTTTGACATTCTTAACAATTAATTCAAATCCTTACTAAAATAAAATATATTAAAATATCACTTATGTATGAACTGTTGATCGAAGTAGATTGTCGGTGTAATTGTTTATTGGAAACACTTGAATTACATAATCCTCTGCGGGTTCAGCATATAAATTACGATTGTCACAGACAGTGGTGTATTTTCGACATGCAATGCACCTTCGTCTTTGGCAATACGTTTGTAGCACATTTATATCCTTGAACATGATATGGATTGCATTAAATTGTAAATTTTCAAGATTTGACTCAAAATATTCCTGATTGAAATAATTGGCACATTCAAATGAGCAAAATATATCAACAATATTACCATCAAATGAATATCGAACTTCCCTCACGACAAATTCTGAATGCAACTGTCGAAAATATTCATATACTTCACGTTCACTGTGAGCAAACGGATATTTTGCAATATGTCGTATTGTGCTCGGATGTATATGATTAGTTACATCACAGAGATTATCGTCGGGTATCATTTCTGTTAAAAATGAATAAAATGATTATATTTAAAAATTTAAACTTAATAATTAATTAACATACAATGAAATATTCTGCTCGCTGCATGCGACGTTCTTGCTTACCAGCTTGTTGCGCAATGTGTTATATGTGTTATTAATCTAATGAACGCACTATTTAAGTAGCATGAAAAAGCAGATATACTGTATGCCAATTTAAAATAGCTTATATTTATATTTTCAAACAGCACCTTATATGTTAATGAAAATATAAAGTGTAATCAAATTTTATTTATAATCATTAACGTACAAAATACTAAAAATAAAAAATAGTGTAGTGTGCAGTAATGGATATATCAATCGATTTTTTACCATAGACAATATCATATATGGTAAGGCAAATATGAAATTTTAGATTACTGTGTTGTAAATAGCAAATATCTTTTAATTTAAAGTGTAATCAAATTTTATTTATAATCATTATCGTACAAAATAGTAAAAATAAACATAGTGTAGAGTGAAGTGATGGATATATCAAACGATTTTAGATCGCCATGTGATAAATGCCAAATATCTTTTAATTCATCTGTTTATTGCGCAAAAAAAAAATTAATGCGTATATCAGTTTTTTATTTATTACCAACACCATGTGTAACAGACATTGGCCATGACTATCACAATATATCATAGGTATTAATTTATATAAAATAAAGAGATCGAATGTGAATTTCATCAGTTAATTTTAAACAGTAGGAGGGCATAGTTATAATGTCCGACATGAGTTTATCCAATTCGGCCGATGAAGAAATTAATGTAAGTATCTTTTTTTTATAATTATATTATTAATATACTTTAATTTATCACCATTTATTAACAATTAGTTTAAAACATAATCATTTGTATTTAGGATCATTATTCATATCAAAAAAATTTGCAAATGCAGAAATCTAAAAAACCCAAAACTACTATGAAAGTTAAACCAAAAAAACAGAAATTAATAATGGTCAACACAAGCGATCAAAATTCAGAAGATGAAGAAATTGATGTACGTATACCGTTTTAATAATTATTTTTATTATTATTATATCACTAATATTTTTTTAATTACGTTGCATTATACATAAATATGTTGAAAACATGATAATATAAATTTAGGAACTTTATAAACATCGAAAAAATGGACAAATGCAAAATTCTAAAAAACCCAAAACCATTATAAAACCTAAACCAAAAAAACAACAAGTAAAATATTGTATATTTTAAATATATATTTATCAATTAATATTAATTTTAGTTTCAGTCGCATTTATTGAAACTGGAACAAGAATATGATGGTATAACAGCTATGGTCAATGAAAACTGTATACGCGTAAAAAAATCAGATGGTGGAAATTTTTGTATCAAAATACCCGAAAACAAAACAGCAAGTGATTATTTGGTTATTCAAAAATACAAAACTTCGGACATGAAAAAAGTAGAGTCAAAAGACAGGTAACTATTATTATTTTGTACAAACAGGTCATATTAAGATTGACACTCACTAAAATTAATATAAAACAATTAAGTACAATATTTGTAAATTATTTGAGAAACATATTATGTCATTTGCATAGTACTATTTTAAAACCTAAATAGACTATTATACCATTTACGTAGTACTATTTTATAATTTAAATAGACACGATTCTTACAACCAATCAATTTTGCGAATATATAATGATATCGTTGATACTAATAATATTCACACAGTATGTAAAATATTTAACTGCTTAACAATTGGGTTATATAGTTTATATGATAAAATATTCATGATAATATGGAAATATATACATTTATAATATACAATCATTCATTTTTTTTTTTTAATAGATGGAAAACCTCAACGTTCAACGCAAAAACTATGCTGAACGAAAAAGATAAAGCGGACAACACAATAATATTGGCATTTAATAATTTACAAGATTTAATTATGAATAAGTTTATGTGTAACGATGACAAAAAAATTGAATCTTACAAATAATAACAATATGTTTATACTACTATAGATTTTACTAATATTTGTGCATTTTTATTTTTATTTTTATTTTTATCACCACACGATTAAAATATTTGTAATCAATTTTATTTTAGAAAGCATACAATTAACCCAATAATTAATACAATATGATTATATTATGGAAAATATTTTTGTTTATTTTATCCAATTAACATTAAAGATTATTTATAATATATTTATATTATTATCATTTGTTTTTTAAATAAAGGTATGCATTTAACAAAATATGATACATACAAATAATGCTTATTATAAAGGTATAATCTAATTATAAAATAGTAAGCTTGCCGTATATCATGATTATTTTGGTTTTATTGATTGGTTAGGTATATCAGGCTTTAATATAATGTTTGCAAACGATCCGTGATGGATTTGTTGAAATTCAAGCAAAAATGACTTCTCTTCATCCTTCAGGTCATCCATTTTGAAATTATAATCTTTAATATATGCACTGATAAAATCACTTCTAATACAATCAGGTGATAAATATAAAATATCATACTTGATAGTTATACATGCATTATTGAAAACAGTTTGATACAACGCTAATTTATTTGATAACACTATGATATTTGCATTTATACACGCTTCCAATAATTTCAATCGATTTAAATTATCACTGGATAGCGTGATTCTGTTATTATTATGGTATGAATTAACTGATTTAGATTTTGCACATATTTTATAATAAAAATTATTAACCAAATGTAATCGTTTTGAATGTTAAACAGTGGATAAAGAACAAACAATTATATTAAAACTATCATCAGATATAAACTTACTCCATTGAAATACATTTAGTATTAGATAACGTTTAGTTACGTTATGCATGAATAAAATAATTACAGATAAAGGTTGATCAACAAGGTATCCAATATAAATGTTTATTTTATTCTGTTGATGTATGCTGAATATTGATTTGACTATTACGCCGTCCATGATGTGCGCAGTATTGATTTAATTATTGAATTCAAGATGATATTTTGGTTTGGATTTCAATGTATGACAAAGTTGACGCACCTATTGTTTGATTTTTTATCAATTGAAATATATGTTCCAATTTTAATTAAATTATTATTACTTAAACAAATAAAATACAACATAGTCAACATTGTTACACTGTAAAAACATAACTAAAGTCAAATATAGTGCATTGGATAACAGTTTGATCACATTATGAAAGTTAAAAGTGATTATTTACTAATGATTTTTGTTTATTGGTCAATATTTTTTTCAAATCGATAAACAGATAATCGATAACAATGCACAAACATGTATCAGGTCCGCAATCACAATTTTGATTTGACCATGCGCATAAAGTAAAATGATTATTGTTTTTTTCTGTCCCGCATTTAATAGCATAGCTTTTTAATTTTGATAATAATGTATACAATTCAGCTAATTCCTTGTAACAAAAATGTGATGGATGAATTATACCCATTTCTGAAATATCTCTTTCAATTTCTTTTAATAAGTCCATTGTAAATAATAACACACAATTCAACGGTTACTAATAAACTGATACAGATTAAGTTGCGTGTTATTATTATATATTATAAACGGTTAATACAAAATCTAACCACCCAAAAATTGAAACATAATTTATTATAAAATTAAAAATTACAGTTTATGAATAAAAACAGGGAAAAAAAAAAAAAAAAAAAAAAAAAAAAAAAAAAAAAAAACAAAAAAAATGTAGACCCATGGTATAGTGGACTATGACACTGGGTGTAGTATTAACATACATACTTACCCTAAATCTAAATTTAACAAACTCTACACTCAACGCCTTAGTCCACTAGGCCATGGGTCTACAAGTTATTTAATTCCTATTTGCGTATATAAGTTAAAATAATGAAAAAAATAAAACAGTATGATAAAAATGGAAAACAGTAAATATATTTGTATGGGTAAAAAATAATAATAATCACTGAGTGAATATCTCTTTTTTTTTTTTTTTTAGTAACATTTGAATTGGAAAAAGAAAACGATAAAAACTGGGATAGAAAGCAGCCAAAAATCTGATCGTTCAAGGGGGAAAGTCGTGGATAACCGTTTTTAAATCTCCCTGTAACAGTAAAAAACTGGGATAGTAAGCACCCACAAATCTGATCGTTCAAGGGGGAAAGTCGTGGATAACCGTTTTTAAATCTCCCTGTAATTGTAAAAACTGGGATAGAACCTACAAATACTACCTACTAACAGTATAATACTATGGAAGAAATGACGGGTCCTCATTGGCTAATTTCATCATACGGTTTATTGGCTCGCGTTTTGTAAATATTTTGTAGGACAATGCGGAATAAAAAAAGTATGTGTGTTGCGGGTGCACTTAACAGGAGCTTTAAAGTTAATTAGAGCAAGGAGTGAAGGGGAGTCGACAGATACCGATAAGACTTTATTAAGAAAATCAAGAGCATGCGATCAGCGACGGTCAGCTAAGGAAGATAAGTTTATTGCATTTATAATAAAAGTACTTGAGGAATAGTGTGGTAGATTGGGGCATTAATGAATATTCTAGAATTAACATGTGGATGGTCAAAATATGCTTCCAATTTTTTTATCCAAATAACGCAGACATTTTTGTATTGGATGCACTTTCTTTAAAACATAAATTGTAATTTAATATTATAAATGTTATTTCATATTTACTTCTAACATAACACACGTGTTCCGGTCTATATTGGAAGTTTCATCATCCTTGACTAGACCTCTTTAATAAAAAATATATTTTTTAATAAATTTGTATAATATAAATTATTAAAAACTTAATCATTAGTATATTATTATTAATGCATTTTTAATCAACCTTAAAAGACTGAACGATACAGACTCCAATGTATCTTTAGGTATTTCATTAAGCCAGTTGATTGGAGTCCAATTGACTAAATCCGGAAAATTTCTGGATCCAATCCTTAATCTGTTGCCCGCAGGTGAACAACAGAAAACCATCTTAATTAATGTTTCAACTTTGTTGACAAAAAAGTTCTGTTTAATTTTCGATAAACCAGCTGCTTTAACCTAGAATCATAGATATACGGCTTATTGAAGCGGTTTGCAATAAAAATACCTATTATAAAAATTGTAGAGGAGAATTTTTTTAACAATCGTAAGGAATCCGATTTTTGATATCGTATTCCAATCGTCCAATATCGCATGATAAATTAACAATTTTTTTTTTTTACTTTTTATCGATTGATTATTTAACTCATTAATAAAAATATAAAAAATCAGGCTTATTTCGATTATTAAAAAAATTCTTCTCTCCAACTTTTATAATAGGTATTTTTACTGTAAACTGCTTCAATAAGCCGTATTACTTGAATTACGAAACCATATTTTGTTCACTAGGCCAAACTCTTCTTATCCGAATTTTATACAAATAAAAACTACTTTTGTTCTTCAATTAATACGGTTTATTGAAGAGGTTTACAGTAAAAATACCTTTTATAAAAGTGGTAGAGGAGAATTTTTTTAACAATCGTAATAAATCCGATTTTTGATATCGTATTCCAATCGTCCAATATCGCATGGTAAATTAACATTTTTTTTTTTTACTTCTTATCGATTAATTATTTAACTTATTAATAAAAATATAAAAAATCGAGCTTATTTCAATTGTTGAAAAAATTCTTCTCTAAAACTTTTATAATAGGTAGTTTTGCTGTAAACTATTTAAATAGGCCATATTACTTGAATTATCGAACAATTTGGGTATGATAAAAAAAAGAGATAGGTAGGTAGGTACTCAAAAAACCATTTATAACAATTAACAGAAATCATTCAATGTAGACAATCTAAGCCACAACCAGGTAAAGTGGTACATATTATAAATTGAATATAATTTGCGAAAGGATATTTTAAATAGTCCATACCATATATTTGGCAAACACTCTAATTGTGCCCGATATTTTTGCACTGGAAGAAAGTTATACGAACTGAATTTGATCGACGAAGTAATGCAAAGTGGTTTGATGAAAGAAATGACAACTGCACTTAGACGTGTTGCTGATAATGCAAAAAGTTTATTACTTGATGTTGATAACAACATCTGCGAACAGTTTAATAGTGTCATTAATAAGCACATAGGCGGTAAACGAATTAATTTTTCTCAAAAACAGTCGTACACCACTAGAATATATACTGCTGTACTGCTGTAGTATCATTTAATACAGGTGGCAATTATATACGAGAGCTTCACAAAAAGATAACAACCAAAAGTCCAGGTACATTATTTAAAAAGTACCTACAGTGAGTTTAATTAATTAATTTTAATTTTATAATATTATTATGGCATGAATTAGAATTTAATTGAAACAACGCTTTCAAATTAAAATTAAATAAATACTACCAAAACTTATATTTCACATTTCACATTTTTATATTTTGGTATATCGTATTAGCTATGAGTAAATTAAAAATTGAAATAATTTGTATATTAAAGGTGTATAGGCACAATAATAAAATAAATAAAATATTTCATTATGAATTATTTTTCAGTATTTATAATGTATGAATAGTATTAATTTGTTATTATTATTATGTGGGTAATTGTTTTAATATTATTATATGTGTATAGGAATCATAGCCAAAAATTTTTTGAAGCATACGCAGGGCCGGTTTTAAGGGGCGGCAAAATTATCTCAGATAAAATAAACAAAAAATTAATTTTTTATGTAAAGAGAAAGATTTCTAAAAAATGATACATTTTATTACTATTTATTTTTTAAATTCACATATGCATAAGTTTTTTTTTACCTATATTTTATCATTTTAAATAAAGAAAAATAAACGTTATTAACTAAGTAGGTAGGTACCTACTAGGTATCATGGAAGATTCTAGGTAGATAGTACCTAAGACCTAAGTTATAAATTAGTTACTTATGTTTTTTTGTATAGTTTACCTACTATTAAAAATCTAATATTGGAATGCATAGGTACCTAGTTAAAATTGCTAAAAATTAACTGCAAATTAAATTTCAATGAGAAAGGGAAACATAAAAAAGGTGGGCAAGTGGCCAGTGGGTGTCGCTTTGCTGTACAGTAGGTTACAAGTCTGTCACTGTATAATGGATAGTATTAAATTTGAATTCAATGATATAATATCATTGTATAAGAAAAACGATTCTGAGCGGAGATGGTATGTCAGTCTAGGTATAAGACATAATATTGTATACATATCTATGGTATTAGAAAAAAAATTGACCTATAATAGGTAGTAGGTACCTATAATAAATTCCAAATTAATCATATCACAATATCCATTAGGTGCTGATAACGCGTTATACATCAACAACATACCGTGATACTATCATAGATATATAATAGCACACTTTAGAAGTTTCAAGTACTCACGAATAACATTATTCAATCACTACAAAATAACTAAAATAGTTATTCTAGGTTTTTTAATATGTAATTTCGTCCAAATTTGAATTTAAAATTTCTGTAAAAAATAACTGTGTTCATATATTTTTTAGATTTTTTGGTTACAGTATGAAGTATTTATGAGAACCTTTGTTTTAAATTTTCAATCCTTAGCTATAAAAACTGAACATTTTATAATTTATTAATTACAATGATTTATAATTTTCGAGATTTTGATACATTTTGTCAAAATTCGATCTTTAAATGCTTATAAAAAAAAACTGTGCCTATGTATTTTTAATATTTTTCAACTGCTCTTGTAACAATATATCAGGAGACTTGTATTAATTTTTTACACTTTTTGGCCCAATAGATAAAATTTTATTGATATTTATAGAAAAAAAACTAAAAAAAATTGAAAGATGTAAATGTCCATAAACAGCTCAAAAAGAGTCAAAATATTTTCAAAATTGTATGGTGTATAGGAAATGCTAATATAAATATTCAGTGAAATTTTCATGTATCTAAAGTTATTCGTTTTTGAATTACAACAAAATAAGGAAATCGCTACATGAGAAATCGAGTGAATATTCAATGTTGTAAAAATTTGAATTTCAAACGCTCTTAAAAATGTAATTTGAATTTCTTATATACATTTTTTTTTTGATAAGGGTAGATAATCTTATAAGGAATCTTGTATTACATTTTCAAATCTTAGATTTAAAAAGAAAAATTTTTACGAATTTCTAACTCAAAATAATTTGCTAATTTTAGTGATTTTTCGATATTTTGTCAATTTTTGAACTTTAAATGCTTATAAAAAAAAACTGTGACTAAGGATTTTTAATATTTTTCATCTGCCTTTGAAAAAATATACTAGGAGCCTTGAATTAAATTTTCAAGCTTTTTTAACCAACAAATAAAATTTTATTGATATTTCTAGAAAAAAAACAAAAAAAAATGGAAAATGAAAATGTCCCTAAACAGTTCAAAATAAATCAAAATATTTTGAAAATGTTATCGTATATAGAAAATGCAAATATAAACAACCAGTGAAAATTTCATGTACCTAAGGTAATTTTTTTAAAGTTACACCAAAAACTAAATTCAAATTTGTGAAAAATCGATTTTGCGTAAAAATTCCCGTTTTTCCTTAATTTTTATGTTGTTTTTCCCGGTGCTTTTGAAAATTACTGAGCATTTTAAATTTTGACCTCCCAATGCACCAACGATATTCACTTTCCAATCGAACAAGATACTGAAGTTGAAAATCGAAGCATTATTTCTACTACTTATCGTGTACACTGACACAAAAAAGAAAAAGAAAAAAAGAAAACTATAAATTATATTATACTTGTTGAACTAATATTAATTTTTTTCATGGTTAAATAATAGGAAATTGTTGCGCGTTACCCTTTTATTATATTAATATAGGTAATATGATTATAATTTCTTTTTTAAATATAAATGTGGTGATAAATAATATAGGTCACATACTAAATCTATTTATTGATTTTATCCATTTGATAAACTGTAATTCATTGGATTGTGTAATACTTATAATATAGTAGTTTGTATAGTAGGTAATTTTAAACTAACAGTTACTTATAGAAATAATTTTTTAATAAATTTATGTTACAATTTGTTATCATTTTATATTTTACAACTATACATTTTAAATTAGTTTTTTTTCTCAGTCAATGTACCCGATCTCTAAAAATTACAGAATGATAAATAAAGATTTTAGTGTATTATTATTATCATTACGAGTAGATTACCTATAATTATTATATTACTATATTAGGTATACGTTAGGTAATAGGTATACCTACTACAAACATATTATTAATTTAAATAAATATTTGTAATTACTTATTATCATATTTTAATATAACATTAACAGTTGAACTTAAAAAATAATACACGGTAAATTAATATTAATTTAATTGCGCTGTTTTTATTTTATTTACCATTTATTAGATTTTACTATAAGTATTATATTTAAATAAGTAATAATTCAATGACTTCAAATCAAGCTATGTTATAATACAGTTACGGTCTACATGTTGGGACATAAATTTAAGTAAACAGTATCTTAATTTATAATCTGTAGTTCGTAGGTACGCGAGGGTATTGAAAATATTACGGCGGCATTTGCGTATAATGAATTATATAATGATACGAATGGTACTGGACGAACGTTCATAGACAAATAAACGGCGCTCCCGAAGCCCCGAACGAGCACTCGTCGCCGCCGTCGGCCGGTTGCGAATAGTAGGCGTGACTTAAACGCCGCGCGCTTGCGGATCGTGAAAACACCTAACAGCGCATCCTCTCGGTCGTTGCAAGCGTACAGCTTTGGGTGACACGTCCTCTTAAATAACAAAGCCGTTATTCAATTGGATATTATAATTTATAAATACTAAGCGTTATTATATTTCTAATTCAAAAAGACTTTAAATAAATATAATTTCCTTATAAAATTATTTAAATTTGTTATTATATTTGATAGGATATATAAAATATAATATTTTGTTATTTTTTTTTTTTAATTTTATAATTTTAGTGTAGTACACATTTATATTCAAAAAGACTTTAAATAAATATCAGTTCCTTATAAATATATTTAAATTTGTTATTATATTTGATAGGGTATATAAAATATAATATTTTGTTATTTTTTTTAAAATTTAAGTGTAGTACACACCACACATATTATATTCAAAAAGCTTTGAAATAATTAGTTTCATGATAAATTATTTAGAAATTGTTTTTTGTTTGTTATACCTACAGTTAATTAATTAATATTAAAAAAATGTTACATTTGTATCACATTGTTAAAAGCGTTGTATAATTCTTTGTTGAATTCTTCGTCCAACTGTTAAATCATCATTATTATTATCATTGTTTCCTTCATTTCTTATAGGTTCAAAAATTCCAAAATCTACATCATTTTCTATAATGCAATCTTCTCTTTGAAACATCTCGTTATTTTCAACTCACATATTGTGCAATACTGCACATGCGTTAACTATTTTTGATGCTTTTACTGGAGAGTAGTGTAGTACTCTATGTTTTAATAGGCAACTGCAATTAATAAAAATAAAAAAATAAATTACAATTACCTTGGTTTAACTTGGAGGTTAAAAAAAATTATTAATTTAAAATAATATACCGAAAACGCATTTTTAGTAAACCAATACACCTTTCTATAAGACATAAAACATGCTTGAATCGATGATTATATCTTGCTTCGGCGGTGTTTGGTTCATAGTGGTGTCATAAGCCATGCTCTTAATGGATAACCGGAATCTCCTACAAGATTCAAATAGGTAGTTTTTATTTCTATAATAATATGCTATTATATATTGCATTTATTTTTATGTTTACCTAATAAATAGAACCCAGGTTCATGATTGAATATACGTCTTAAAGTTGGTTCTAGCTGACAGTTATTCCAAATATAGGCATCATTGACACTTCCAGGAAATAGAGAACATATGTTAAACATTTTCATTTTACTATCACATACCTATCAAATCACAATTTTTTTATTATTCATTAAATTATATTTATTTTCTTCTCATGAAAAAACTTACAAGTTGGACATTTATACTATGATAATTTTTACGATTAACATAAATATATTCAGGATGAATTGCATCATGCGTTGGAGGAGGAAAAATAGCAATGTGGGTACAATCTATTACACCTACAATCCCAGGAAAATTGAACTTCCTGAAAAATCTAATAAAACTGTATCTATAGAGGATGTTAATTATTTTTTTTAATTGCTTCCTCAAATGACAAAAACTACAATTTATAAAATAAACATTTAAATAATGAGCTTACTCTTCTCTAACTAGACGAAGTTCCTGAAAATTAGAAGGATATTTCACCCAAGAGTTAAAAATTGTCGGTTCATTTAAAGCATTGACAAATTCTTCCAAAGCTCTTGATACTGATGGTTATGAAACTGATGCAAAAATACCATTTCCCGTTGGTAGCTGATAACTTCCAGTCGCAAAAAAGTTTAAAGCTATAAGTATCTGAACATTTAAGTATAAAGGTTATAACTATTGTACAATATAATCATGGGCGTATATTGTTATAATTATCTATGGGGGCTATATAGGACTAGACAAATATACCATTCCAAAAACTTCTTATCTTTAACAGGAATTAATAAGAAAGAGAACATTTTCTAGATAAAATTAAAAAGATAAATTTAAAATGTAGGTATTTGCCTTTGTTGGAATATCAAGAGCTGAAGAGCGAGTAGGTTCTGTCATAAAAGGGTTTAAAATATCAATTAGACTATATACTATTATTTTAGAAAGTCTAAAGTTTCTAACAAAATCCTTGTCGCTCAATGTAAAAGCATCAATTCTTTTGGTAAAACTTCTTCTAGCGGTTTGTGCGTCTGCTTGCAATTCATCATTTTCCAATACAGCGACAACATTTATTATTTCCTTCATTATATTATATAAGTTAAAAATATAAACTTAATTCATTTCAATTAGTTTCCTTAATATTTGTACATCTATCGACTGACGACTATCATAGTTTTATTGAAAGATAATCAATTAGTAATTTAATTCAAATAATTATTATTTAGGTTAACGGTAGCCATCAACAAGCACCTATTTTTAAATATTTAGAAGTTTTAATATAAAAAATAAATATAAATAAAATAAATAAATTAAATATAAATAAATTAAATAAATTAAATATAAATAAATAAATGTATAATAATGATAATATTAACATGCCGAAAACGCATTTTCAAAAGACCAATACATCTTTCAATCAAGCTTCTAACATGTTTGAATCTACGATTGTATCTTTCTTCAGGAGTATTTGGTTTATATTGCATTAAGGGCGTCATTAGCCAAGGCCTCAAAGGATAGCCGGAATCTCCTGAAAACATATTAATTTCTATTAGGCCAATTAAATGCAAATAAGATGTGTTTCTTAGAGAATATTTTAGAGCATAACAAGTGCAGTACAAGATGACAAATGTGTAGTTTGAAGCAAAGTGTGGTGTTAAAAATAACACTCAATAGTTAATATTGAAATGGAATACTAATTTAAGGACATACCCAAAAGATAAAATCCTTCAGGATTATAATTATATATTCTCCTGAGTGTAGGTTCAAGTAGAGAGTTGTTCCATATATAAGCATTATTTACACTCCCAGGAAATAATGCTGAAACATTTATTATTTTCATGTCAGAATCACAGACCTTTAAAAAAAAGTTGTCATAGATTATAAAATACTACTTATAGTAGTATCTTTAAATTTAAAATAATATAATACTGTTAATCTATATTCTTACTAGCTGAACATTTATGCTATGATAGTTCTTCCTATTTACATACATGTATTCAGGATGAACAGGATCATCGGTTTTGGGAGGAAATATTCCAATATGTGTACAATCTATAATTCCCACTATTCCAGGAAAATTGTATTTTGTATTAAATCTACAGTATAATAAGCCATTGAAATATATTTTCTAAAATATACCTATCATGTCTTAAAATATATGAATCTATTTATTTTACTTTTCTCTTGTTTGTCGTAGTTCTATTAATGTTGATGGGTATTTTACCCAATATTTGAAAATTTCTGGTTGATTCAAAGCATTAACTACTTCATCTATCGCTCTTGAAACAGTTGGCTGGGAAACAATCTCTAAATTACTGTTCCCAACGGGAAGTTGGTAGGAACCAGTTGCAAAGAAATTCAAAGCTATGAATACCTAATATGAAATAAACTAATAAATAACAATAATATTTATAGGGATCATTATTTATTAAGTAGGTACTTACTTTAGTCTGTATATTTAAGGCAGATGTCTTTGTTGCTTCTGTCATATGAGGAGTTAATATGTTTATGACATATCTTACTAAATCTTTAGTCAGTCTATAATTGTTTATAAAAATATAATTTGGTAATAGAAAAGCATCAAATCGTTCACTGTGACTAAGCTTTCGGTAGTTTACTGCATTTTCTTGCCGTTCTAAGTTTTCTAATGCAGCTATATAAAACTCATCCATACTCTTGTAGATTATTATATCAATTACAAAAAAATCACGAGTAAGTAACGAGATCACGATAAATTACACTAAAAATTCAATAACGGCCAAGAAAATGGGGGGTAGAATAGAAAATAATAATACAAGTATACAACTCAAATAATAGGTAACAGTGATAATCTATTTCACCAGTGAAATAGGTAGGGATAATTTATCGTTTTAATTATCAAATTGAATTATCAATAATTCATTCAAGAATATAAAAAAGCGATAATTTCAATTTTCATGTGATAATTAAAGAATATCACACGTGATAAATTATCACTTCGATTCAAGAATAGGGCCCCTGATATAATATATTTAGTGGTGTGCAAGCATATACGCGCACGCTCCGTAAAATTATTGTGTTGTGCGTGATTGCGTAATTGATACCACATCGGCGTTGGACGAGCGGCGGCAAGCAACGTTCCCCGGCAGATGCGTATGCGGTCGGGTATCGCTATATAATATTTTGTATTATTATTGTAAAGCTATGGTGTGCTAAAATCGCCACATTGTCGAATGTTGTTATATTATACTTTTATTTATTGTGAATTATTTCTAATATCGATATTATACATTATCGACATATTATTATATTACATATTTCTGAGACCGGTCCGTTATTGAATATGCATAAGAGGTCTGTTAAACGGGGACGCCGTATTTATGTATTAAATATATGTGTATATTATTATTGTTCTATTTAATTGCATAACGTGTAAAAAATATATCGCATACGTAGTATTATTATTCAAATTGTGTGGTCTATTATTCGCACTTAGCAAAACACCTAACCTAATAGAGACCCGTGAACATCCGGGTGGATGGTATATCAGCGCTAGCGAATTCTGATATCATCGCCCAACAACTATAATATACAATCTGAAATCAAGATAATATATAAGATTGTGCACCATAATAATTACTCAACAAATTCGCCATTTGTATACTCTGTTCCATATAAGAGTGAACCACTCGACTGATCAAAACACTTTTTTTCCCGCGAATTCCCACCACAATCTGGACATCGGTGAGAGTCTTAACACGGGCGTCTGACGACCGACGACAGCCGGCGATCGGGCGATGACTGTCCTGCAGTCACAGAACGCATAGCCATAGCATGGTCATGGATGATCAGGCACTGTTCGGCGGTTCAGCCTGAGGGCGCGAAAGTGGTTCACTCTTAGATGGAACAGAGTATAGACTGTCGTCGATGGTTACCCAGTGTTGTTGCAAGGTGAAAAATTGGAAAATCCTTGAATTTCCTCGATTTTTTTTCTAAATCCCCGGTTTTTCCTCAACTTATTTTAATTACCATAGTAGTATACAAAATGAAATATGTTTGAATATAAATACAATATCTATGTATTTATTTAAATAACATTTGTATAACAGTATTTAATAACAGCTTTTTCAAAAGAAAATGATTTCTCAAATCAAGATAAACATGAATTTTTTACGAATTGTCTGAATTTTTATGTTGAATGCAGTCATCAAATGTACAAGCGTTTCTCCTTTCATTCAGATCATATGAAACTACTAAAATCAATGCCAGTTTTAGACCCAAAGAATATAAAGAACACAATCAGTGTTGCTCTTGTAGCTAATTTCCCGAAGTTAAATATCACCATTAATGATATTGAAAGAGAGCGGAGAATGCATAAGAATCATGATTTAAACTTCAACTTAGAGTTAATGGATTTTTGGAAAACGGTTGAAGATTTGAAAAATGGTGATAATTTAGAAGCATTTTCCTCGTTGACTAGTTTTGTATCTTAAGTACTAACTTTACCCCACAGTAGTGCATCCGTCGAACGTTTATTTCGCTCCATAAATTTAAATAAGACAAAAATTGTATTTCTACAGTAACAATATCAGGCATACTGCATTCAAAAAATGTATTAAGCACCCAAGCCCAACATTGTTATAAATTTAACATTCCATCTGATATGGTTCACAAGCATTCCTATGAGATGTACAAGTAACTGTTTTTTTAAATTATTTAAATTTTTATTAGTTTGAGTTTATAAAAATTAAGAACCTCAAACAAGTTGTTATTAATATTATTGTTTTAATTTTGAAAAAATTCATAAGCTGAATTTTAACAATAATTATTTTATTTATATTGTTATTATTGGCCATTGGGTGTATAGGTTGTTTGTTGTATTGTCGGTAGGTAGGGGGGGGGGACACTTGTGTGTTGGGTTTTTGGCAGAATTTTCGAACTGGGCACCCGTAGGTATCTAACCTCACCGTGACTTGCCCGGAGAAAAATGCCGCCCGATGGTCCAGAATCGAAACCGCGACCAACACGCGACGCGTTAAACGTTAAACTCCTCGTCCCCACAAAATTAATAAATAATCTCGTATGTACCAATAACTACTTTTTTGGACTTTGAACACTGTTTGACTCTTAGTTGCATATAACAATCAAATACTATTTCTTTTATCTTAATTACCTATCTGGTTTGTCGAGTTTTACTCGTACCTATATCTGATATACATCCGATATACCTAGTTAATATAGATAGAGATATTTATTATCTATAGGTGGTGGACAAACGACGAATTTAGTCATTTTTGTGCAATGTTGGACGGCCTTGCATTTCTTCTTCTTTAACATGTTTTCGGAATGGCTTACCTTAAAACAATTGTTTCTCTTGAAGGAGAAGATCTTTTAAATTATTTTGACGCAACCTACGTAAATGGACCACTTAGAAAAGTAGGATCTGGTACCAAATTCAAATTAAAAAAAATAAGTCCACTTTTTCCCAGGGGCGCCATTTCAGTTTTTTTTTAAGGTGTGCAAACAATTAAAGAGGCCAATTTTTTCCCACCTCCAGGCCAATCGTTAAAAAAATGTTTTAGATTCTGAGTGAAACGATGAATGTATTGATTTTACGATGATGTGTGTTTATTTATTTTTTTTTTTTGTGTCTGTGTACACGATAAGTAGTCGAAATAATGCTTCGATTTTCAACTTCAGTATCTTGTTCGATTGGAAAGTGAATATCTTTGATGCATTGGGGAGGTCAAAATTTAAATTTCCCAGTAGTTTTCAAAAGCGCCGGGAAAAACAAAAGAAAAATTAAGGAAAAACGGGAATTTTTACGCAAAATCTGTTTTCGAGAAAATCGATTTTGGTTTTTGGTGTAACTTTAAAACAAATGACCGTAGATACATGAAATTTTCACTGGTTGTTTATATTTGCATTTTCTATACACGATAACATTTTCAAAATATTTTGATTTATTTTGAACTGTTTAGGGACATTTTCATTTTTCATTTTTTTAAAATTTTTTTTCTAGAAATATCAATAAAATTTTATTTGTTGGTTAAAAAAACTTGAAAAATGTATAGAAGGCTCCTAGTATACCTATTGTTTCAAAGGCAGATGAAAAATATTAAAAATCGTTAGTCACAGTTTTTTTTTATAAGCATTTAAAGTTCAAAACTTGACAAAATATGGAAAAATCACGAAAATTAGCAAATTATTTTGAGTTAAGAATTCGTAAAAATTTTTCTTTTTATATCTAAGGTTTTAAAATGTAATACAAGATTCCTTAGAAGAATATTATCTAAATTTATCAAAAAAAAATATCTATAAGAAAGTCAAATTAAATTTTTATGAGCGTTTGAAATACAAATTTTTACAACATTGGATATTCACTTGATTTCTCATGTAGAGATTTTCTTATTTTGTTGTAATTCAAAAACGAATAACTGTAGATACATGAAAATTTCACAGAATGTTCAGATTAGCATTTCCTATACACTGTACAATTTGGAAAATATTTTGACTCTTTTTGAGCTGTTTACTGACATTTTCAGTTTTCAATTTTTTTAGTTTTTTATTCTATAAATATCAATAAAGTTTTATCCGTTTTGCCCAAAAGTGTAAAAATGTAATACAAGGTTCCTGATATATTGTTACAATAGCAATTGAAAAATATTAAAAATACATAGGCACAATTTTTTTTTATAAGAATTTAAACATCGAATTTTGACAAAATTTATCAAAATCTCAAAAATTATCAATCATTGTAAATTGTAATTAATAAATTATAAAATGTTCAGTTTTTATAGTTAAGGATTGCAAATTTAAAACAAAGGTTCTCATAAATAGTTCATATACTGTAACCAAAAAATCTAAAAAATATATGAACACAGTTATTTTTTACAGACATTTTAAATTTAAATTTTGGTCGAAATTACATATTAAAATCAATATTAACGATCTTTGTTTTTGTTGCAATTTAAAAATATTATTCGGGGATATATGAAACTGAAAAATCAAAATATTATGGCCTATCCATACAATCTACCATAGTATAAGGAATAAGAAGTATACTCATGATAAGACTGTGCATATTTTAAGGAATTTATTCATAAATTCCATATAATTTAATAAAATAGATATATATATAATGTCTTAATAACCTATAGACTGACATACCGTCTTCGCTCAGAATGATATTGTATCATTGAATTCAAATTTAATACCATCCATTATACAGTGACCCACTTGTAACCTACTGTACAGCAGAGCGACATCCACTTACCCACCTTTCTAGTGTTTTCAGTTTTTCATTACCTACAGAATTTTAGTATCAAAAACATACTTAATAAAAACATATTTTTATAGATAACACATACATTAATAAACTAAATATAAAATATTCAAATAGGATATCAAACAAAATACAAATTAATTTTTCAAAGCTGAGTTTATGACTTAAGCGTAAAGTAAAGCAAAGCGTGCAATGCAATAGAAATAATAAACAACTTGAAATATAATAGTTTATTATTATAACGACTTTTATACAAATATTTTTATATTTTTTTTATTTATATTTTTATTTTATATAAATTGAAGAACACAATAATATTATAATATAATTTATGATTATCAGTGAATAGCTGCGGTGCATGCACAATTAAAGATAAGCAAACTGAAGGCCATAGTATTAATGAGGCCTAGGCCAATTGTGGACACCAAAATTACAGGGTGTGCGAGTGCACACCCTGCCCCCCCCCCCCCAAATGGCGCCACTGCTTTTTCCACTTAATACTTGGAATGTACATAAAACAACGATGAATGGTGACCAAAGAACGAATAATATATGCGAATCGTGGAATAACAGATTTAGTCATTTAGTTGGCCACAGTCATCAAAAATCTTAATATTTTGTTCAAAATCAAAATCTGTTATAAATGAAAAAATAAAAACATTAAATTTCCCGCAATGAAACTGCAGGATTATATGTAATTTTCGATGTTGTATACGGTGATGTATACAGTCATTACTGTAAGGTCTATATATAAAGTGATTCTTGTTGGGAATTTTTACGCGAAATCTGTTTTCCAAAAAATGGATTTTGGTGTAACTCTAAAACAAATGAACGTATATATACATGAAATTTTCACTGGTTGTTTATTTTTGTATTTTCTATACACGATAAAATGTTTAAAATATTATGATATTTTGTTTTGAACTGTTTAGGGACATTTCCATTTTTTTTTTAGTTTTTATTCTAAAAATATCAATAAAATTTTATTTGTTGGTTTCAAAAGCTTGAAAATTTAATAGAAGGCTCCTAGTATATTGTTCCAAAGGCAGCTGAAAATATTAAAAAACCTTAGTCACAATTTTTTTTATAAGCATTTAAAGTTCAAAAATTGACAAAATATAGAAAAATCACGAAAATTAGCAAATTATTTTGAGTTAAGAATTCGTAAAAAATTTTCAAATGTAGTACAAGATTACTCATAAGTTTGTCTACCTTTATCAATAAAAAAATCTCTACCGGAAAGTCAAATTAAATTTTTATGAGCGTGTGGCGTACGGGTTAAGTGGGTACTACCCGCAGCCAACATACACTGAATAATAAACTCGAACTCGGATGTAGGTGGATACGTTTATTATTTATTAACTAAGTACAGATTACAGAATTATTGTTATTGAGAGAGCCGGTCACGAGGCGATCGAAAGGCGCGAGTTCTTTGCGCGTGACTGACACACGGGTCTAGTCGAGAAGTCGTGGAGCGCGGTGTCGTCGTAGGGTTAAACCAAAGTCGTACCAAGGGGTAGCGGCGGCGTGCTTGCGGGCGTGCTGACGTGGTTAAAGGTACGATTCCTATGACGCGTCAGACGCGTGCGGCTAACGCACTGCGTCTGACGCAGGGTACTACTTCCAAGGTTATCCAATGGTTGCGTTTCCTAAAATGCGTCAACAGCTTTGCGGCGGCCGCAAGTTGCGTCAGCCGCACAGACCGTCCGGTCGATGAGCAGTATAGACGCAGCCGCACGCGCGTTCGTATAATTTTCTTATATTATACTACGTATATTTTTTTCGAGTACTTTCGTCATGTCAAAAGTACTTTTCACTGTCATTGAGGACGAAAAACTTGTGGAAATGGTAGCTAAATTCAATTGTTTGTACGATTTGGGTTGTAAACTCTACAAAAATCAGACTATCAAGGATAATGCTTGGAAAGAGGTTAAGTACAGGTTATAATAAAAAATTGGCAAAGACGTCTACTACCTCTCAACGGCTGCACACAACTGACGCGTCATAGGAATCGCACCGACACGCGTCAGACGCGTGCGTCAGACGCAGTGCGTTAGCCGCACGCGTCTGACGCGTCATAGGAATCGTACCTTTAAAGACGGGACGACGAAACGCGGACACGTGCGTTAGTGTATGGCGGTGTTTTTTTTGACGGTGTCGTGTACGTCGGTTGACGGTTGCCGAACGAGAGGCCGTTGGCAACCGCCCGACACTTCGCGGTCGCGAACGACGCGGAGGGCCGAGCGGTGTTTCCAACACAGGGAGCGCGACCGACATGGGGAGGGAGTATGTGGTGAAGGCACTGGTTCGCCACAAGCGTTTGAAATTCAAATTTTTACAACATTGGATATTCACTCGATTTCTCATGTAGCGATTTCCTTATTTTGTTGTAAGAAGTCCTGTGTTATCTTCGCCACCGTGCGGTCCTGTGAGAAATGACCTCCATAGTCATGGGCTCCGATAACTATTCCCTTTCTCATAGCTCTGGGGACGACGAGTAACGGACGGCCTGCAAATCTTCGGTATAAAATGCCGTCATGTACCTCGTACAGCTCGACGACGCGTTTCTCATGATCAGTGAGTGTACCAGAACTCGTGATCAACTCGATCAGTTCTTTGGAGGAAGAAGGCTGCATGAAGCGCACCCGGTCGGTCGCGGACATGGCAACGAATACGTTCAGTCGTTCTACCTTCGATAAGTTCGGTGTCGACGGAGATTGAGATATCAGGGACGCCTGTGGACGGTGGCTCAACTCGACTCAGCGCGTCCACATGAGCCATCCTACCTGGCCGGAATTTGATGTCAAAGTCGAATTGTTGCAACGTCTCAAACCAACAGGCTATCTGCGGATTTACAGTCTTATGTAAATTTAGATAAATCAGCGATTGGCAATCGGTGACAACAGTGAAATGTAGTCGAGTAGGTACGGGCGCAGCCGGTTTAAAGACCAAATTACTGCGAACAGTTCCAGGCGACTGCTATGGTATCTCGACTCCACGTCGGTGGTCTTCTTGCTCACCGCATATATCATATGTAAGTCTGTACAACTCGGGACATTTTGCGTTGTTATCGAATTGATGACCGGCGGGTTATTCTGCGTAACATTCTGTTGCCTCTCCAGGATAGTTAAACGTGCTTGTAATTAGCGGCTAGATCAAAAAGTTCCTGGTAGGTCGGGGCCTTGATAACGTTCAGCGACGTTTGTTCTCGTTCCGAATCCCTGTTAGGCATATCAGATAACAACCAAAACAATAACAACGAACGTAATCAACACAGAGCACGTGATAGACGATACGGTTGCGATAGCGCTATCACGGCTACAGCTGAACAACCGGACCGGCGCACGTACTCGCACTCAAACGATCAAAACGGCGGGCGGCGGGGCGAGATAACGTCTGTGCATTACATAATCGGGTTTTCCCGAAGTCGCACACGGTTTATACAACGCGACGAACCGAAACCTCGTGACAAAACGGATCACGATTACGGGATTTCGGAATCGCCGACGCACTCGGAAAACACGTATTGTGGACGTTCGAGCGAATCCCACTTCTGAATTGATAGCACCTGTGTGGAAACAGGGACTCTGGTCAGGATAAAATAAGTGAGAGCAATTTATTTACGGTTAAAATAAACATTATATTACGGTATAATATATATCTTAAATAAACGGTTGCCCGGAGGACACGGTAACGATAAAACCGCAGTTAACGAGTTGTGTCCCGACCAAATTTCTCGTACACGAGTTGTGTCCCAATGATAAAAGTGGGGTACACGAGTTGTGTCCCGATGATTAAAGTGGGGTACACGAGTTGTGTCCCAATCATAAAAATGGGGTACACGAGTTGTGTCCCGATTAAAGTTTATTTAAGTTTACAAAATTTTTTATAAATTCGATTTTTTTCCATTTCAATGTTGTATAAAATATACCAACACATATTTTATAAGATATTTAGGTACTGAATAAAATTCGATTCTGTCGATTATTATTATCGCGTGGAGATAAGGTGTGCATGGAGCTACAACGATTGTCATTGTACATGTACATGTGTGTCTTGATCCTCTACTATATTAAGATAACGAACTATATATTATATACATATAACTATACTCGGATATTCCAATATCACACTTGAATTTTCGACGAGATATAATAATAGTAATACAATATTATACGATTAATTTACTAGTCAGTCAAACACCAACCGTCCACTATGGAGCAAATGATAAGTGAGAACAACAAAATGCTTTTGGTAATTGATGGTTACAAGTTTTGTTTTCATAAATTATTAAAGTCCGAATTGCAAAGATGGAGATGTACTAAAACGAAATGTAAGTCTTTTATAAAAATTAATAAAAAAATTATTTGTGTATTTATTTTTGCTTTTTATTTATATTTTATCAATTAGACGAAACAACATATAAATTATTGTTAGATTAAAATTTTCACTATAATAATATGACGTTTTTTATACTCATTTTTCGTGTTAAATATAATATTATATAAGATATACCTAACTTACCTACTTTTAATATTTTAATAAAAAAATTACTCAATGTGAATTTATAAAAATTGTTATACATTTATATTAGTTAGACCAAACTTGTGTGTAATCCGAAAAAAAACTGGGGGACACAATTCGTGTAACCCGAAAAAAACATAGGGACGCAATTCGTGTAACCCGAACAAAACTGAGGGACACAATTCGTGTAACCCGAAAAAAACATAGGGACGCAATTCAGTATTTGGGACACAACTCGTTTGCAGCCGATAAAACGTCGTCACCGGTCGCTTATCAAAACACACTGATATTATATATATGCAGGGCTGGATCAAGGGGGGGGGGGCTAGGAGGGGCTATAGCCCCGGGCCGCAAGTTGAAAGGGGCCACAGTGTGTCAACTCATTTTTTTTCAAACATTATTATAACTTATAAATTTTAAATTTATGTCATATGAAAATGGACTATGGACTTGGATACTTCATTACCGACACACAAGACCCAATTATAGGTTTAGTGTTCGTCGCTTCTTGGAACTCGTTATCGTCGTTATCGAACGGGTTTCCGGACGATCCGTCAACGCAATACATATAATCGGTTAAATTTATTTTTAAACCTAGTACATTACACGTTCTATGAACGACAAACACGTACTTTTGAATGGTCCAATGAAGGAAAAAACAAACGTAAAATTATTCAAAAATATTTGGATGGTACTACATGTCATGAGAGTTTAAAAGGTAGAGATACATTTAGAGTAAACACTTATTTTGTTATCATTGATAAATTGCAAACCAAATTAAAAAAACGTAGCTCAGCTTATGACAATATAACAAACCTTTTTGGATTTTTGACTAGCTTGGACGTGATTGATGATCATTTATTGAACAAATTCGTAAATAATTTAGTCAAAGTTTACTCTCGTGATCTAGAAGAAAGTCTATACGACGAATTGAAACAATTCATTGGTATGGTTAAAGTCAAGGAAGATAATAAATTAATAAAAAACCCGGTTAACATGTTACAAATTATTGTTGAAGATAATCTCTCGGGCGTTTTTCCACATATTTATGTAGCGTTCCGAATTTTTTTAAGTATATCAGTTTCTAACTGTGAAAGTGAACGATCTTTTTCTGCACTAACAATAATTAAAAATAAATATCGTTGTATGATTTGTGAATCAAGACTGACATCTCTATTTATTCTTTCAATAGAGTGTGAATTGACTATGAATATTTCATTTGAAAATATTATAAGACAATTTGCCCAGGAAAAATCCAGGAAAAAGTTTTTCAAACATAATATTATATAAGATTAAAAATATGTGTATATTTTTTTTATTGCATATGCCGAAAAATGTATAATATGATATAAGAATACAATGTTATTTAAAAACAATGCTATACTTATTTTAATTTATATTTATTACAAATTAATAAATCAGATGAAAAAAAGGAAATGGTTTTAGGTGAAAAGGCCTCAATAAATTATGACCATAATCCGGCCCTGTATATATGTAACTTAAATAAACGGTTGCCCGGAGGACACTGTAACAGTAAAACGGCGTCACCGGTCGCTTAGCAAAACACACTGATATAATAGGTATACGGACCCGTTTGGTATCGATTATCTGCGTAACTGTCGTACGGAGGTACACGTTGGCGATGACGGCGTCACCGGACCTTTTACATAACAGAACCGACTGGACGGGCCGCCGTTGCGCAGTGGGCACGAGGCGCAGTGTGACCAATCCAGGGCACACAGTGCCTCGGCCCTTACAATAACAAATCAAAATTACTGGGTGCTAACAATGGTAAGCACTTACAATTTTTTTGATGCATGTATTTGTTTTTATATACTTTTTCCTTTTAGCTGGCTGTTCTTAACCGGCTATTAACTGGTTAATTTTTATTTCCGTTAAGCCTTGTTCTTTTTTAATCTTGTTGATTAATCTCCAAATAGTTGGATGAGATGCACCTAACAATGAAGAAAATGCTCTGTGCCAACCAGGAGGTGTACAATCAATACTTGTGATATTAAGACATTTTTTGGTAAAGAAGTAATCTGCAAAGCGGTAGTGCAGTCCAGTGAGTTTATAAAATACTCATCTACACCGTCCTGCATAGAAAAATAATATTGCCTAAACGTAAACGTATTTTGTGTATGACCACCTAACGTATAATGTAGTTAATTGATGTTATTTGTTAATTAAAATAATTATATTATTATTCCATGCTCATTTCGTTCATTATACTCTAACTTGTTCTATAATGTTTTATTGAAGTTAAAGTTGTTAACAATTTATACCTAATTCCTTTATTGTATGGTTAAGAAGGTACAAAGGAATGTATTACATTTACACATGTCATGACATCAGTTATTAAAACTGTAATTTGTTTTATTTATACAATGTACACATAATATTATATACTCATAATTTATCTGATATTATTCATGTTTAGTAGTTATGCCTTCAAAAAAATGCTGTGTTGGTGGTTGTACAACCCAAAATAAAGGTTAAAACTCATGTGTTTCCTGAAAACGACAGTGACTATAATATCTGGGTTCAAAGAACTGGCAATCCAAATATTCAATTAATGAAAAAACAATATGTTCGAAAAACATACAGAATTTTCCATATTCATTTTGAAAAGTCTTGTGAAAGTCCTGGAACCAATAAGCTAAAATACAGATCTCTTTCATCATTAAATCTTCCTTGTAAAAATACTGTGTTGTGTGATTGTGTGCATGATTTATGATAGTAAATGTTAAGCTATAGAAATGTCATAAAATATTTCTACTAGTTTGTGGTTTTTAATTTAATGTTGTAATTGTACATTTCTACTTGTGGTTTCTGAAGTTAGCCTAAAGGTATATGTTCCAGTTTATGTTATAATTAAATTTGTGGTTATTTATTTAATGTTGTAATGGTATCTTTTTACTTGTGGTTTCAGTAGTAAGCCTAAAGGCCTCTGTTACAGTTTACGTTATAATTAAATATGTGGTTTTTAATTTAATGTTATAATTTATAGGTAGCGGTATATTTCTAAATATTTCTAAATTTATAATTATACTTAGATAGCTTTACAGTTTATATGTTATTTCAGTTTGTGATTTTTATTTAAAGTAACTGTAGTCATATTTTGATTCTAACTTCCAAT